AAGAATCGCGAGACTCACTGACGATGCCGGCGAAGCGTCTGGGAATGTAACACGTCCACGGTCCGATTTTGGAAATAATCATGCATACAATGGACTCAGGGCTAGGTGCTTTTCTCAGTCTTCCTATCAATATGACCAAGTTGCGAAAACAAGGTCTAAAAACTTCTATACTGATTTATGATCGCTAAAAACAGATTTCATTTCTATATTGTTTTTATTTTTACCTTAGAATTGTCTTAAACTTGGACTAATTTCACCAAGAAACGTTTTTCCTTCTTTCAGACACGAACTAAAGCCCTATCAACTAGTTGGTTTGAACTGGCTGCGTCTGTTACATCACGAACAGCTAAATGGGATCCTTGCCGATGAGATGGGTCTTGGCAAGACAGTTCAAGCGATTGCTTTCCTGGCTCACCTTTACGAGATGGGCCAGCGTGGACCGCATCTTGTTATTTGCCCTAGTTCCACCATTGCGAACTGGCAGCGCGAGTTGGCAACTTGGTGCCCCTTTCTTCGAGTGCTCACCTACCATGGTTTAGCGGACGCTAGGAAGGCAATCAGAATGCGAATTTACGAGCGCGTGGCTGCCCATGAAAAGGACTGTGATCCGCTAAAGACCGCTACACTTGGAGCAGATTCTGGCGGGGCTGATGTCGGGCAAGAGGATTGTGAGATTAAGTCAGAATTCGACTTTAACGTACTCCTAACCAGGTAAGTGATGCTGTAAAAACGACAATTTTTTGGTTTCATAAAAAAACACTCGTTTTTCTTGTCCTATCTGAGAGTCCTAAATTGCCACTTACCTCCCTCCCACTTACACACATACACACTTGTCTTACATCTCACGATTACTTCATCAAGCCTATCAGAATCATTATTTTCGAACGGGACTTTTTCATAACTAAATTTATTAATTGATGACTTATGTATCCTCTGAAAGGAAACCTCATGTCGGGCTTGAAGACAGCTGTAAAATTTCATGATGTAAATGAGGCGTCAAACCGAACCACGGGGACTGCTA